ATAGGGCCAGAGACTTGGGCAACAGCAGGCCATAGAAATGGAATATTAAGTATTCCCCATGGTGAGCTAAGCACATGCATCTGACATGTACCGCTCATAGGAATCACTTTGAAATAAGAATCAATGTTGAATGATGCTCTTTAACCCTGGACATGAAGAAAGACATGAAGTAAGGGGTGGCATGTGGGATACAGGGGCATTTGGAGGAGGGAAATTGGGGAAAGATATGATCATATTTCATTGCATACATGTATGAAATTCTCAAAAATAAACATTTTAGATTATTTTTAAAGTAGTAGCAGTTTCTGATAAGCAATGTGTTCCAGGAAAAGAAAAACATAATTTAGGAAAATTATTTCACACTTCAAGAGATTTGAATATGGAGTGATAATATAGTTTTGTAACTTGATGAAAAAGAAAAACACTTCTTTTTGTGATAAAACTTAAGAAAAAGTAAAGAATTTAAAGATGCACTCACACAGTGAGATCCTTGCATTCTAGACAAGGAAAACAATAGAGACAAAATTTGGAGGCAGCTTATAAGATAGGGAAAGACAACCAGAATGGCCAGATGGTGGGGAAAAGTCAGGAGAATATGTTGTTGGAGAAAGAATAATTGAGAGAAAGTTACCTCTTATGTGTGAAAAGAGACCTGTTTTGTTTGAATAATTTTCTTCCATCTAACAGAGAGGTACTAATAAGTTTTCAACTGAGTTATTCATATCCAGTTTACATTGTAAGATTAGATCACTTGTATGTCACTGTGGGCTATAGGGAGGCTAGACTAGAAGTAGGAAGCATAGTTGCCACGTTTTTTGCAAGAGATGATGGTATGTAAGCCAACATATTTGTGGTGGAGATAATTTGGTTTATTGTATTTTTATTTTTTATGTATGAGTGTTTTTCCTGCATGTAAGTGCACACTTGACATGCAGTGCCTGTAGAGGCAAGAAGAGGGCATCAAATTCCCTGGAACTGGAGTTATAGATGGTCATTTGCCACCATGTCAGTGTTGGAAACTGAACCTGGGTCTTCTGCAAGAGCAGCCAGTACCCTTAATTGCTGAGCCATTTCTCCAGCCCTAATAATGAGATTTTAAAATAAGCTGTTGCTATGAATGACTACTGTTCATTCATTTCCAACCATGAGATGAAAGGACTTTGGATAAACTTACACTCCTCTTTTCTGTCCAGTTGCTTTTCTCTTTTCTGTTAAAGTCTAGGTTTACTTTTTCCCTTTTGCTCATTCAGATTATTTTGAAGACAAAATGAACAAAGGGACAGAGACAGAAAATTCTCCATCAGTGGATTCAGAAAACCTTGGAGAAACTACTGATGTCTTAAATATGGTAATAATTTCCTATTTGTGTGGATATGAGCTTTATGTAAATTTTAGTTCCTCATGAACACGTGTATATAATCTGTATATTGTTATGTATAAAAAGATGCTTAGTTTTAATTTTTATTAGTATATATTAATATTGGTGAATTTCACTGTGACATTTCCAGACATGCATAAATCAAACATTTATTATCTGTAGCCCCCCTTTCACCTTCTTTTTCCTACTCTCCCTTTAACCAGCCCCTTCCCCTACCTTAATATTTCACCTTCTACTTTCAGACCATCTTTACCTTTGAGTTTGCATTCATGAGAGAAATCATGTAATACTCATCTTTTTCCAACATATGCAAGTATGTAGGTATCTCTTTTATATACTGACTGCATATCCTTCAGATATATACCTCAGAGTAGTTTATCTACTGTAGATTACCTGGTACTTCCACTTTTAGTTATTTGAGGAAATTTCATACTGTTTTCTACAATGGGTATACTAATTTACATTAAGTGTCTTAAGAGCTCATATTTCATTGCCCCTTTTCATTTCTAATTTTACTTGTTTGGGTCTTGTTTTTCCCATTGGGATTAGTGTATCTAAGGAATTGTCAATTTTGTTTATATTTGCAGGGAAGTAGGCTCTTTGTTCCATTGATCTTTTGTGTTCTACTTTTAGTCTTCATTTAATTAATTTCTGCTCTGGTCTTTATTATTTTTTCCTTCTACTTATTTAGGATTTAGTGTGCTTTTGTTTTTAGACCTCATGCTGTATCATTAAGTTATTTTTTGTGATCTCTTGCTATTTTGTTTGCTTACTTTAGCCACTCATTGGTATAAACATCCCTAGAAACATACTAGAAGTACGCCTTTTGCTGTACTCTTCAAGTTATTGTTTATTGTGTTTCCAGTTTGATTTGGTTTTAGGATTAAAAAAATATCCCCCCTCTGAATTTTTCAATGACCTAATATTCATGAAAAAAAATGTTATTCAACCTGTATGTGTTTGTATAATAGGCAAAAATTTTTCTTGGTGTGGATTTCTATTTTTTTTCTTTTTAAAAATTATTTATTTAATAACCACATAATTGGAAGAAGCATTTCATTACAACAGCATTGACATATTCAATAACAATTTCCAGAGCTAAGATGCATCTCTTTCAAAATTGGCTGTAAATTTTTAGGTTTACAGTTGAATTAATAGTTATATGATATTGTACTCAGAATACATCCTATAAGTCATAAAATTGAATGAGGTTTTAATCTTTAATAAAGATCTCCATTTCATTTTAAAATATACTGTTTCATACAGAAAAACTCATTTTTAAGGCAACTAACGCTTAGATGTGTGGTTATTAAAT